GACAGGGTCTCTCCTACCCCTAGCTTAGGGTAGGGAAGTATGGGGAGGGAGGGGAGCAATTTGAATGGGATTTTGTTTGTTTTATTTTGCAACTTTCTTAAACTCTGTCATTGGCTTTGAGAGCCCCACGCCCCAGGAGAACTCCCTGGGGCAATGATGGGGTTCAACTTAGTGAGAGGGAGGGAGGAGGCGAAGTAGGCAAGTCCTGAGAGAGGATTGGGAGCAAGGCAGGGACTCCTCACCCATCACTTGCCCTCATCTGCCCAGGTGACCCAAACTGGCCACAGCTCATCAAACAACTCCGCATGTGTAGTTGAGTAGTACATTGGAACGAGGGGGTCCTGAGTGTCGTCTCGTTCCACTGTCCCGCCCCCACCCCCAGCTTTTCCATCTGCACCTGTCATGCCCTCAGAATGCCACCTCCTGGGTGGGGGCACATCTTACCACCTGAACAGTGTCCTATCACTTATCTACCAACTAACCACCTGACGGTCCCTTCAGCCAGCCAAGCAGACACTAACCCATCCATCCACTCACCCACCGGCTCACTCAACTATCCATCCCTACTTATTGTATGTACACTTTTAGATTCATCTATCCATCCACCCACCCATCCATCTACCTCTTGTATTTATTTACCACCCACCAATCCATCCATCCATCCACATACCCTTTCATTCGACCACCCATGCACACATACATATTCCGTTGCTTTCATTCATTCATCAATCCATCCACCTATACGCTACTCAATCCCCCAAGCATCCACTCACTCATTTATCCACCTACCCAGCTATCCACCCACCCACCCACTCACGCATCCACCCACATACCCACTTATCCAACCACCCATCGACATACACATATTCTATTACATCCTTCCATCCACCCACCAACCCACCCATACATTCCATTTGTCTCCCAACCCACCCATATATCTATACACATGTTCACCCACCCAGTCAAGTGCTTGTCCGCCCCTCAGCCACTCTTTCATCCATCCATGCACCCACAAATCTGTCTCTTCATCACCAACCTGAGGATCACCCGTTATGGCCAACGCACCTCAGCACAGGACGGTGGCAAGCCCTCGTTTTAAATCCGGAAGTCCCTGGGTTCAGATCCGTGCTCTGATTTGATGCAAGGAGATTCGGGTTGCACGCTTGGTCCCAGTCCCAGCTCTCCCTCTGTGAACTCACGGGGTCGCTATTGGTGGTGTTCTCAGAATCAGGCTGGGCCGACAGACAGGAAGTGGTCTCTGCATAGACAATTCCACTGCTTGGGGCTGCTGGGCATAAAAGTGGACTAGACACAATCCTTGCCCTCCAAGGTCGTACTCCAGGGCAGAGGTCAGCAGGGTTGGGCAGGAAGACCCCTGCAAGCCACGTGATCCCTTGTATGGGTCCTGAACTCTTGCCGTTGTAGTGGGGAAGCAGCCACGGTTGACCCACACACAAGTGGGCATGGCTGTGTGACAGCGGGGATCCGTCGACAATGCCAGGCCATGAGCCGGGTTTGGTCCGTGGTTTGCAGGTATGTGGCATCAGGGTGAGGGAGTCCATCTATAACGCCAGGATCAGGGCTCAGTATATAATATCAAGCCTACCTGAGGCTCAGTCTCCGAAAGTCTGGATTCAGAGCTGGCTGCCTCATTCAGCGCCTAGGTCAAACTCTTCCACATCAAAGCTCAACTCACCCCTGCTCTCTTCCCTTCAAAGTTTCGGGCTCACGGGATGCAACGGCTGGGGTTCCGCCTTGGATTCCGCCTTGGGTTCCTCCAGGCTGCGGATGAGGAAATCCCTGCCCCTCCACCCCCACCTCCCCGGGGAAACAGATAAAGCCCCTGCTGCCCGCACATCAGGCCCCGTTCCTGCTCAGCCTCCAGAGGACACACATCTGGCTTTTCTCTCCCCCCTGCCCGCCTGCATGTTTATATCTCGCTCGTTGCTCTGAGTCACGGATGCGTCTGACTTCAGGGGAGGGGATGGAGCACAGAGTCCTTGCAGCCGGTCGGGCCGGCAGCCACGGTCGAAATGGTGGCATTGTCAGGGTGTTGCCTGTGTATTCGCTGTGCACTGAGGCTGGCCTCCAAGCGCGTTTGTGCCGCAGAAAATGGCGCTGCTGCCTCCGTGCCGGGTGTCCCTGCCCCCCCTTTTTATTTTTTATTACAAAGTCAGATATACAGAGAGGAGGAGAGACAGAGAGGAAGATCTTCCGTCCGATGATTCACTCCCCAAGTGAGCACAACGGCCGGAGCTGAGCCAATCCGAAGCCAGGAGCCAGGAACCTCCTCCAGGTCTCCCATGCAGGTGCAGGGTCCCCAAGGTTTTGGGCCGTCCTCCACTGCTTTCCCAGGCCACAAGCAGGGAGCTGAATGGGAAGCGGAGTTGCTGGGATTAGAACCGGCGCCCGGCATGTTCAAGGCGAGGACTTTAGCCACTAGGCCACGCCGCCAGGCCCTAAAATTGACTTTCTAAGGAATGGCCATTCCATTCATCCAACTTCTTAGGGACGGGGCAGGGAGGGGTTGATATGCACATAGGTACAAGTGGAACTGTTTTCATTTACTGATTTATAAAGTGAATTTAGTTCTGCCTTGGCTATTTCCTGCTGTTGCCTGAACGTCCCAAGGACCCCAGAACTTTTGTGTTCATAATTTATTTTCAAGATGTATTTATCTGTTTGTTTCGGAAGAGTCACAAAAAGATCATCTTCTAATTCACCCCCTCAGAGGGCTAGAATGGCCAACGTTGGGCCATGGGCTTCATCTGGGGTGCCCACGTGTGCGCCAGGGGCTCAAGCACTGGAGCCATCCTCCGCTGCATTATCGGAGAGCTGGAAGGGAAGCGTTGCAGCCTGTATTCAAACCTATGCCCGTATGGGATGCTGGCATCATAGCACCCAATGGTTTTCCCAGCTACACCACAAGGCTGTCCCCATGTGACCATCCCTGTCCCCTCTCCCTTGCCCCCACGTTAGGCATCTGTACCGAGGGTTCCGCCAGGGCTCCTTGCCCACACGCTCCGGATATTTTTAGCAACGTCCCTGACTCACGAGGGAGGACTTTGCTTGGCTGACAGGGTGCTGAGCTGCACAATGGGCAGGGCCTGTCTGCCCTGTTGCTTCCAGCCCCCATTCCTGCCTCTCCTCGGGGAGTGACCACTCTCCTGGGGACCCTGCCGCTCAGTTGCTATGTGTGTCCCCACCATGTGTCTCCTCCCTGTCTGCACCCATTCCCTCAAGCCTCACTTGCAGGCACTCTCCACCTACTTACTCATCCACTCTATCAACCCACCCATCCACCCATTCACCCATCCACCCATCCATCCACCCATCCACCAACCCATCCACCCATCCATCCACCCTTCCACCAACCCCTCCTACCTATCCATCCACCCATCCAACAATCCATCCATCCACCATCCATCCATCCACCCATCCACCCAACCAACCAGCCAATCACCCACTCGCCCATTCATTCTTCCACCCATCCACCCATCCATATATCCACACCCTGTCCACGCACCCACCCACCCGCACACCCTCCTGTCCAACTATCACATCCACCCACATCTTTCTATCACCCACCCCCTTTTCCATTCTCCTATCCATCCTTCTTCCCATCCAGCCATCCACTCTTCCTTACATACTATACCCTGATCCTTCTACCCACCCATGCTCTTATCCCTCCCTCCATCATTCACCTGCCCTTACATCCCCCTATTCATCCATCCATCCATCCATCCACCATCCATCCATCCATCCACCCATCCATCCCCCTATCCATCCATCCATCCATCCATCCATCCATCCTCTTTGATTTGGGCAGTCCCTGGGGTATGTCTGGAGAGGTGATATTCGAGAGGATGTACGGGTGGAGCATTGGAGAGAGTGAGGTGGGATCTTCAGGCAAGGCAGTAGGAGAATTTGGACAGGGACATTCACAGCCAATAGAAACCAGCCAGAACAGGCAGATGCTTGAGATATCAGCAGCTGGACTGGGCCATTTAACCTGCTTCCTGCCAATGGCAGGTGGAGGGACAGCAAGGAGTGAGGGTTGACATGCAGTGCAGAGAGCAGGAGAAGAGGATGCTCAGATAGAATCTAGGCACCTGTTACTACTGCACCCCTCACCCTCCGCTTTCTGATAGAGCAGGTGCAACCAGTGCATTGCATCCATCTCCTGGGGACCATGCTGCTGGGATTGGCATGCTGGGAGGAAACGGTTCCGCAGGAAGGAGTCCTGTGGTTGATTGCTCATGTCTGCTCAAGGCACAGGACATTTAGCATGGATGTGGGCTGGAAGATCACGGAGGTGTTGCCATCACAGCTGTCCATCTCTGTCTCTGCTTGCCATCCTGGCATTCCATACGAGACACCCATTGACTTCCCAGCTGTTCAACCTCTTTTTTTTTTAATTTATTATTATTACTGTTCTAATTATGATTCATTTATTTAAAGGTCAGAGTTAGAGAGGGGGACAGAGAGATCTTCCATCTGTCGGTTCACGCTCCAGATGGCCGGAGCAGCGTCCGGAGCTGGGCTGGCCAAAAGCCAGGAGCACCATCCAGGTCTCCCACATGGGTGCAGGGTCCCAAATGCCTTGGGCCATCCTCTATGGCTTTCCCAGATGTATTAGCTGGGAAATGAATCAGAAGTGGAGCAGCCAGACTTTCCCTGGCATCTTTATGTGATGCCAGCGATGCAAGGTGGTAGCATCGTGCCAGCTCCTGCTCTGACTCTGTCCCAGCTCCCAGCTAGGACAGCTGGAAAGGCAACAGGTGGTGAAGGGCTTGCTTGGGCCTCTGAACCTACATGGGAGACCTGGATGATGCTAGAGGCGTCTAGCTTTGGCTTGGCCCCCCAACCCAGCCATTGATAGCCTAAGACCTCACCGCCCCAATTTACAGATGGGAGGATCGGGGCCCCCAGCAAGCAGCAGGTGCAGAGGTCAGCTTCCAACTTTAGCCTGGACTCCTTGTCCCTGCTTTCCCCCACAGGCTCCGAGCCCAAGCCGTGTACCTGCGACCCTGTAGCATCCACCTCGGCCGCCAAGAGCAGCGGTGCCCGCCGTGGGTCTGGCCCAGAGTTCTTCTTTGCCATGGAAGACCAACAGGCAGGTGTCTGAGTGTGAGCTGAATGGGCGGGAGTTTGTGAGAGCCCGGGCAGCAGGTGCCTCTGTCTTTATTTTATATATATAAGATTCATTTATTTTTATTGCAAAGGCAGATATACAGAGAGGAGGAGAGACAGAGAGGAAGATCTTCCATCTGATGATTTACTCCCCAAGTGAGCGCAACGGCCGATGCTATGCTGATCCGAAGCCAGGAGCTTCTTCTGGGTCTCCCACACGCAGGTGCAGGGTCCCAAGGCTTTGGACTGTCCTCCACTGCTTTCCCAGGCCACAAGCAGGGAGCTGGATGGGAAGCGGAGTTGCTGGGATTAAAACCAGCACCAATATGGGATCCCGGGCGTGTGCAAGGCAAGGACTTTAACCACTACGCTATCATGCCGGGCCCGTGCCCCTGTCTTCACCCACATGGTTCAATGGGCTTTTGTGTGCACCGTGAGCTCCAGGAAGTTGTGGGAAGAGCTGGATGGGAAGGATGGGAAGATGGGAAGTTGCTCTATAGACAAGGGCTTTGGAGAACTCTCTGGAATGGAAAGAGAGTGGGAAGGAGGGGGTGGATGAGTAGATGGATGGATGAGTGGGTGGGTGAGTGGGTGAGTGGGTGAGTGGGTGAGTGGGAGGAAAGAAAAAAGAGAAGCAGGGTTGGAGGGGGGAGGATGGCATGGTGGCATAGTAGGCTAAGCATATGCCTGCAGCGCCAGCATCTCCTGTAGGTGCCAGGATCAAGTCCCAACTGTTCCGCTTCCCATCCAGCTCCCTGCTTGTGGCCTGGGAAAGCAGTGGAGGACGACCCAAAGCCTTGGGACCCTGCACCCGCATGGGAGACCCAGAAGAAGCTCCTGGCTTCAGATCAGCACAGCTCCAGGCGTTGTGGCCGCTTGGGGAATGAACCAGAGGGACCGGAAAAGCACCTGTAGGGCATCCTTGCCCTGTGCCCTCCACACCTGTTCTAGGCCCCTATCTCAGGAGGCGAGGCCCCAGGGCTGCAGCCTGGCAGGGCTACGATGGGCTTCTCCTAGGCCTGGGGGCTGTTGCCAGGGGCAGAAACATCCCCCAGGGCTGTCAGAGGTTGGTGACAAGGACAGCCGTTGTATCCCGGCCAAGTGAGGGTTAGCCCTAAGCAGGACTGAGTGCCCAAAGCCAGCCCCAACTCCTACAAACCAGAACTGAGACGACAACCTTGACCGAGCTGCCCATCAGACCACCTGCCCTGCCTTGTTTCCCCTCTGGAGACATTTGAGAGAGAGAGATTATCTTTCATCCACTGTTTCACTCCCCCAATGACCACACTGACCAGAGCTGAGCTGATCCAAAGCCAGGAGCCAGGAGCCTCTTCCCGGTCACCCAAGGACTTGGGGCCATGCTCCACTGCTTTTCCAGACCACAAACAGGGAGCCTGATGGGAAGTGGAGCAGCCGGGACTTGAACCAGTGCCCCTACGGGATGTTGGCGCCACGGGGTGTTGGATTAGCCTGCTGAGCCACAGCACCAGCCCCAAGGGCGGGATCTTTTACTTGGTGGGGGAGGGCAGATCATGTTAGAGCCTTTTGGGGGGGTTTCAGGGTGGCGGATGTGTAACCTATATCCGCTGGCTGTTTTGCCCGCTGGTTTACCTGTTGATTTCAATGTTGCAAAGTTCTAACCAGGTCTGACGCAGGCAGAGGGGTGGTTAAGCAATGCTTGCAAAGGCCCACCCCTGGGGCCTCCTCGGGGAGAGGTCTCCTCCTTTGCCCCTTTCCCCCTCAGCGTCCCTGCCTGTGGGACAGCTGGCTCCCCCACCCTCCATCCCTGCGGGGGCCCTGGCTCAAGCTCTCACCTCCCGCCTGGGAGAAAGGAGGAGGTGAGGCCCAGCCAAGAGGCTGCCCCGGAGTGTTTATCTTTGCACTGGAAGATCCAAGCCAGAGACAGCAGGAACCCTTGCGCGGGTAGCCGGGTCCACACAGACAGGAGGCCCTGCAGGCTCCAGGGATGTGGGAAGAGAGCAAAGCCAGGGGGCAGAGGGGAGGAGCTGAAAGAAACCTCTGCGTTGCTCGGTGGCCAGGCACAGGAAGGACCGCAGCCGGCTGGAATGCTGGGAGGCGGTGTGCGTCCTAAGCATCCCGCGTTAGGTGATGGCGGTGTGTGTCCTGAGCGTCCCGCGTTAGGTGATGGCGGTGTGCGTCCTAAGCATCCCGCGTTAGGTGATGGCGGTGTGCGTCCTGAGCATCCCGCGTTAGGTGATGGCGGTGTGCGTCCTAAGCATCCCGCGTTAGGTGATGGCGGTGTGCGTCCCCAGCGTCCCGCGTTAGGTGACCACCGTGTGTGTCCTGAGCGTCCCGCGTTAGGTATTCACGGGAGAACAGAAGGGCCGGTGGAGGACAAGGTGAGCAAGGCTGGGACGAAGGGGACCGCACGCCAAGCCTCACAGCCCCGCCCGGCTGCACCTGTCTATTTCCTCCGCAGCCCCCCATCAGCCAAACCCCAGGCTGACCCAGCTATGTAAAAAAAAAAAAATAAATTTTAATCTCAGACTAGAAATTGCCACCAGGCCAGAGCACTCCCTGGTTTGTTTTGTTTTGTTTTGTTCCAGGGGACCACAGTGAGATGCCAGGAGGGGTGGTGGAGGGGAGCGCCGCAAGGAAAAAGGGGTTATGGGGGGTCCAGGCCAAGGAAGGGTCGCCTCCCCTTCTTGCAGGGGCAGCACTCGGCAGGAAATGGGGGAGGCACGTGCGTGTACCTTATGTGGCTATTATAGCATGTGTGTGACACATGTCCGTGCGTGTGCACACGGACCCTGTAGGATGTTCGGTGAGCATCCGTTTGCGTGCGCATGTCTGTGCGTGTCGGTTCGCGCGTGCACACACGGACCCTGTAGGATGCGTCCTGTGTGTGCATGTGTGTGTCTGTGTGTAGACTGCTCCTGTGTGCTTCTGCAGGTATGGCTGTATGCTGCGTACACGTGTGTGTGTGTGTCCATGTACTTAGGCATGTGTGTGTTTGCTGTTTATAACAGCATCCGATTTTTTTTTTAAAGGGAGGGATGGGAATTTATGGATTACAGAGCTCTTTTATTTTTTTTAAAGATTGATTTATTTTATTGCCAAGTCAGATATACAGAGGGGAGGAAAGACAGAGAGGAAGACCTTTCATTTGGCAAGAGCTGGAGCTGAGCCGATCTGAAGCCAAGAACCCGGAGCCTCTTCCGGGTCTCCCACGCGGGTGCAGGGTCCCAAGGCTTCGGGCCGTCCTCGACTGCTTTCCCAGGCCACGAGCAGGGAGCTGGATGGGAAGCAGGGCTGCTGGGATTAGAACCGGTGCTCTTATGGGATCCTGGCGCATGCAGGGCAAGGAATTCAGCTGCTAGGCTATCCAACAGAGCTCAGCAGCAGGCGTTGTCACATGCGCATCTGGGAGGGGATTTGAGGTGTTTACACCTCAACAGCAAGAGGGGGGGTCTGCTAATACACAACTTGTTGGTCTGTCGGGTTCCTTTCCTCCGTCTGGTAATTGCTGTTGCCCTGCCAAGCGCCTCTCTCAGATGTGTTTAGACCGGAGGACTAGGGAGTTTCCTGTCCATCCATTTCCATATTAACTGCTCCTGGGGCCTTCCAGGAGGAATTGCAACTAGCTCTGGCTCCACGCTGACAAAAATCCACATGTTGAGCCCGCGGGACAACGTAGCAGTTAAAGTCCTCACCTTGCACACCCGGGATCCCATATGGGCGCTGGTTCTAATCCCAACAGCCTAGTTTCCCATCCAGCTCCCTGCCTGTGGCCTGGGAAAGCATTGGAGGACGGCCCAAAGCCTTAGGACCCTGCACCTGCATGGGAGACCCAGAAGAGGAAGCTCCCGGCTCCTGGCTTCAGATCGGCGCAGCACCAGCTGTTGCGGTCCCTCGGGGGAGTGAATCATTGGATGGAAAATCTTCCTCTCCATCTCTCCTCCTCTCTGTAGATCTGACTTGGCAATAAAAAAAAAAATCTTTAAAAAAAAAAGACCCCCCCCCCAAAAAAAAGACTCACAATGTCCTTGCACATGTGTCTACCTGCACATGTGTTTCCATGTATTTACGCATTATGTGTTTATGGGAATGTGTGTATGGTGTGCGTGCTTGTATGTGTTTGTGCACCGTATATTTATACACAAACATGCTCTGTGTGTGTGTGTGTGTGTGTGTGTGAGCGCGCGTGCGAGCTCTGCCGGGCTCCCACGTGGATGCAGGGTCCCAAGCCCTTGCGCCATCCTCCAACTGCTTTCTCAGGCACATGAGCCATGAGCTGGATGGGAACTGGAGCAGCCGAGACTCGAACCGTGAGATGCCGCGGTGCAGTTGGTGTTTCAACTCACTGCCGTCATAGCGCTGGCAGAATTCAGGGCAGGAGCCAGGGACTCTGCCTCTTCAGGGACCTGGACAGGAGACATGCAGGGAGCGGACACACCACACTGCCCACTTTGCCTCTCTGTCCGTTTGCATCCCATTCCTGTGGAACAAGCTGCAGGGTCAGGGTGGGGACAGGGAGGCAGCCTCCAGGGCGGGGGAGAGGAAGAGAGAGACGGACAGAGGATGCCCACGAGGGAGAGGAGAGAGAGAGAGAGAGATGGCATGAATGTTGCAGTTCAGTGTGGTGCCAACCTGGGTATTGGAGCGAGCGCGCCCTCTGGTGGATGGAAGGAGGAGGCATGACTTTTGGGGTGCTTGGTGTAGCTGTTGTCTTGGGCACCTGTGGGTCCCTGGGGTGTAACAGGCTGGCCGGAGCCCACATGGCCTCTGGGGTGGAAGATGAAGCTGCAGGGACGCCTAGGGTAGCAGGTGACCAGCCTTGGAGGATTTAAGACTCTGCTGTGGCTTCTGTGTGCTGGGTACCGAAAGATATTATTAGAAGCGCTTGGCAAAGTCAGGTACTCTGGGGTATTAGGAGCAGGTAGGCAGGACATAGTCCAGGCTGAACTCCATCATCAAAGGCCCAGGAGTGCCCCCCTACCGTGACACAAGCAGATGTTTCCACACCTGACTTCAAGAGGCGAGAGGCTCTCCGGAGGCAGGTGGGCTCGGACGAGTGTGTACAGCGACCTCAGGCTGTGTGTGTGTGTGTGTGTGTGTGTGTGAGAGAGAGAGAGAGAGAGAGAGAGAGAGAGAGAGGCGTACAGGTGTTCTTCAGACAGCTGATGGAGAATGGGATGAAGAGGGGCCAGCACGATGGCTCAATTGGCTAATCCACCCTTTGCAAGTGCTGGCATCCCATAGGGATGCTGGTTCTAATCCCAGCTGCCCTGCTTCCCATCCAGCTCCCTGCTTTGTGGCCTGGGAAAGCAGTGGAGGACGGCCCAAAGCCTTGGGACCCTGCACCCGCGTGGGAGACCTGGAAGAGGCTCCTGGCTCCTGGCTTCAGATTGGCTCAGCTCCAGCCACTGTGGCCGGAGTGGGAGTGAACCAGCCGATGGAAGATCTTTCTGTCTCTCCTTCTCTCTGTAGATCTGCTTTGCCAATAAAAAAATGTATACATTTTTTTTTTAAAGAAATAGATGTGGGGCCCTGTGGCATGGCCTAGCAGCTAACGTCCTTGCCTTGAACGCGCCAGGATCCCATATGGACCCTGGTTCTAATCCCGGCTGCTCCACTTCCCATCCAGCTCCCTGCTTGTGGCCCGGGAAAGCAATCGAGGACGGCCCAAAGCCTTGGGACCCTGCACGCACATGGGAGACCTGGAGGAGGTTCCTGGCTCCTGGCTTCGGATGCGCTCACTTGGGGAGTGAATCATCGGATGGAAGATCTTCCTCTCTGTCTCTCCTCCTCTCTGTCGATCTGACTTTGTGACAAAAATAAAATAAATCTTAAAAAGAGAGAGAGAGAAGAGAGAGATGAGTGAGCCAGAGTTGGCCTTTGTATACTGCCCAGAGTGGACACGTGTGTGTGTGCAAGCTGTCACTCTGTACACGTGAGCGGATTGGGTAGCTGAGCGCGTGATAATATTATGTACTTGTGCACCTGCGAGACTCGTTGCCGATCATCAAGATGTGAAGTGTGAGTCCCATTGCGTACATCAAGTCGTCACATTATGTACGTGTCTGCATATATATGCACATTTCTCTTTTTTATGATTCCTTTGACTTGGAAAAGCAGGTTTGCAAAGAGGAGAGAAGAGAGGACTCGAACCGGCGCCCCTGGGGATGCCGGTGCTGCCGACGGAGGTTTAGCCTGCGAACACCTCCATGCCTTTCCCAAGCCAATGTCGCCTTCCTCTTCTGCGTTACAGAAGGGTGGTTTTCCGGATGGGCTGGACGAGAGCACGGAGGACCTCAGCCTGGACTGGGAGGCCCTGCAGGGCAGTGTGTATCTGCAAGATCTGGGCGTGGAGCCCTCCTTCCGTGGCCAGCCTGGGGGCACCCGGGGCAGCAGCCTGCCATGCCAAGAAGCCGCACACAGAGACTCGTTCTTGTCCAGTTCGGCGGGAGCCCAGAACCTGTCCAAGAGGCGCAGCTGGGAGAGGTCACGCAGCTGCTCTGAGAGCTGGCAGAGGTTAGCTGCCACCCCCCCCACCTCCCTGCGCTCCTTACCTGCCCCCACCCACCCCCAGCATAGCCACAGGGTCTAGGACACACAGCGGCATCTCGGTTCCTGCCTGGGCTGGTCCTAGTGTCATTGCTGTGACTGGAGGTGTCCCCGCCCCGCCCCATCAGCTCCCCAGAGTCCCCTCTTCCGTTTGTGGCAAAAGGGACAGCTCTGCCATGCAAACCCAGTTTCTAAGATTGCATCGGGTTCTCCCCTGGAGACCTGGCAGTCTGATGCTGCCCCGTGGCCACCCTGGAGGTGGGCACAGAGGCAGGCCACCAACCCACTGAGATTTCAGCTCTATCTCTCCTCCCGCCAGGCACAACTTTGAAGCCTCGGCTACGGGTACAGGGCCCTGCCTGCCCCGGACGCTGGCCAGCTGCACCCTGAACCTGTCCCAGGAGGAGCTGAAGACATGGACCCAGGGCTGCCTGGCAGGTGGCAGGACCCCCACCGAGCAGTCACACAAAGTAGGTACACCCGCTGTTGCCTCCCCCCTTCCCCCACTGACCCCGCCAAGGACTTCTCACCTCTCCGGCTGTCTTTCTTCCTTTCAAGCAAAATAAGAATAGATAACACTTGTTCATTTAAAAAAAAATAATAACTAGACCTCCAGCAGGAGCAAGGCCTGTCTGAGCATCCTGTGTTGTAGCATGGCAGGTGAAGCCTCTGCCTGTGACACAGGCATCCCACAGGAGCACCGGGTGGGGTTTCCGATGCTTTTCTTTGAATCTGGCAGGCAGCAGGGATGGGCCAAGTGCTACTGAAGTGGCAGACCCAGCGGGAGTTCCTGCCTCCTGGCTATAAACTAGCCCAGCCACGTGGGGAAGGAAGCAGTGGTTAGAAGCTCTTTCTAATGCTATATCTCCATCTCTCTCACTCTGTGTCTCCTTCACACAATGGTGGTTTTCAAATAATTTTTGAATAGGGTATGGAAACCCTATTTCGACCACAGCAACTCACCCCAGGCCCGTGGGTTCTCCACTGTAACTGCCACCCATGTGGGCTAGGGAGAGGTTTGGGAGAGCAGACGGGAGCTCCAGCCAGGCTTAGGGGCAACGTCTGCCCACCGCGAGGAGGAAGCTGTGTGAGTGGCTGGGGTCTGCAGCTGGGGCGGGAGTGAGATCCCTGCCCACAGCTGGGCAGATAGGTGCTCCAGGCTGTGGACACCTGGCCATGACCGTGACCCTCAGGGAAACGCTTTGAGACCCAGAGCTCCTGCGGAAGGGATTGGCCAGCCTGTGGCTGAGGTTGGAGGAAGTATGCGTGTGTCCCCCCTCCAGGTTGCGCGGGCGCAACCCTGGCTATGACTCCAGTAAGGCTGGGCAGACCCTCCCGCTGGGCTGACCAACACGCTTGCTCCCTACAGGAACGCGCCAGCCCCGAAAAAAGAGAGAGGTCCAGATCCGTGCCGGAATCCAGCGACAAAGATATCCGCTCCCTGGATGTGGCTCCAGGCCTGGGAGAAGATGCTAGACCTGTGCAAGGTGACCTTATCTAATAATAAGAAGAAATAATAAACCTCCAGGGGATGGAGCAGGGGGCGGGGTGGGCGGGGCAGGGGCGTGGTGAGGGAGGGAGAAGGGAGGGGGAGGGCTGGAGCAGGGATGGGCCCACAGGAGGCAGGAGAGGCTCCTGTGAGCTACTCCCCCAACATACAAAACCTTCTAGAAGGAACAGGGGATGGGGGGAGACGGGGGACTGGTGGAAGAGACGCGAGGCTGGAAGCCCAGGTGACCATCCCCTTGCACTGACCTTTCCCTAGCCCGATTCTGTCTTCTTCCCCCCCTACCCCCATGGGTGTCCCTCCCCTCTACTTGTTAAGCCCTGAAACTGGACTTTGCAAGCCTTTGATGAGGCGGCTCACCTGTTCTGGAGGTACCAAGTCCGTGTGAGGACACTCTTTGGGGCAGGGTCCTGAGGGGCCTGCCTGTCTGTCCCCGCCCCCCCGCCCCCAGCGCCCTCCCCTGCATTATGCAGAGACTGCACCCCCCAGGGACCCAGTCTCACCTGTCTCCATCTCATCCCATCACCTGTTCACTTCCTCAGTTTCTCAATGCCACACACACCCGCACCTTTGGCGACGAAACTCCAACAGGGACTCGCAGGATCAGCAGTATGTTGGTTAGGAAGTTTGGGACCCCCATGTGCCGTAGCTTAGTATCTGGGTTCAAGTTCTGGCCCTGCTCCCCATTCCAACTCCCTGCCCGTGTGCACCAATGGCTGCAGTAGGTGACAGCCCAAGTACTTGAATCCCTGCCATTCGTGTGGGAGACCCGGATGGAGTTCCTGGCTCCTGGTCCAGCTCCAAATGTTGCAACATTTGAGGATTCAATGAGCAGGTGTAGCAATCTCTGTCTCTTTCAAATTTTTTTTTTTATAAAGACGTGTTTGTTTTTATTGGTAAGGCAGGTCAAATGCACAGAGAGAAGGAGAGACAAAGATTTTTCTGTCTGTTGGTTCATTCCCTAAGTGACCATAACAGCTGGAGCTGAGCCGATCTGAGGCCAGGAACCAGGAGCTTCTTCCGGGTCTCCCAGGCGGGTGCAGGGTCCCAAGGCTTTGGGCCGTCCTCCACTGCTTTCCCAGGCCACAGGCAGGGAGCTGGATGGGAAGTGGAGCAGCCGGGATGTGAACCGGCGACCCTATGGGATGCCAGCACTTGCAAAGGGAGGATTAGTCCATTGAGCCATTTTGCCATCCTCCAAATAGTCTGTCATATGTATATATAATCTAGACTCAGCTCTGCCGCTCTCCGCAGCATCGCTGAACCTCCCAGATCTGTTCCAGGGAAAGGGCGGGAGGAAGCATGAATGACCGTAGGGGCTGCTTGGGAGAGCTTGCTGGGCCTCTGTCCCCGGGGGGGCTGGCTGTTCCTGTCCTACCCTGCCCCGTCTCTCTGGGTGGCATCCGGTGCTGCAGGGCGCAGGGTGGGCAGGTACAAGACGGCTCCCTTCAGCCCCGTGCGCCCTCGGGTGCCGTCTGCTTCCAGGTCTGGAAGCGCCAATGCTGGACTGTGTGGAGAAGGACCACGTAGAGCCGCATCACGTGTGAGTGGGGCCGGGGGGCTGGTGAAGCCAAGGGGAGCAGAGGTGCAGGGTCACAGGCTGCAAGTGGCTTTGGGCCCAACCCCCGCCCCGCCCTGTCAGTTTTGTGTAATCATGGAGCCACTCCCGGGAGAGATTACCAGAAGGGGTTTCAACATGGCCTCTGGGGACAGTTGCGTGTCAGGCTCCCCTGAGGCCTGGCTGGGCTGTCTGACCCCTTCTCTGGCATCCGGCAGGTTGATGGTCCAGGAGGTCCTTCATGAGCTTCGCCAGTACCATGGGTAAGCGGGCAGGGGCCAGGGCCGAGGCGGCCAACGTGGGGGACAGGTATGGGAGTGGGCAGAGATGGAAAACAGCTCTGAGAGTTGACCGGTGTAAAGGGGCCGGTGTAAGCGTGTGTAGAGAGGGCCAGCTTGGTGGTGCAGTGCGTTAAACCGCCCACTGTGACGCCAGCATCCTCTAAGGGGTGCAGGTTCGAGTCCCGGCTGCTCCACTTCAAATCCAGCTCCCTGCTAACGCACTTGGGGAAACGGTAGAAAATGGCCCAAGCGACCCCTGCATCCACAGAGGAGGAAGAGAGAATTCCAAGCTTCTGGCTTCCAGCTGGTCCATGCCCCAGGATTGCAGCCATTTAGGGAATGACTCAGATAATGGAAGATCTCCCTCCATAAATCTGACCTACCTTTGCAATAAAAATAAATACCTTTTTTTAAGACGTATTAATTTTTATTGCAAAGTCAGATATAGAGAGGAAGGAGAGACAGAGAGGAAGATCTTCCATCCGATGATTCACTCCCCAAGTAACCGCAACGGCCGGTGCTGCGCTGATCTGAAGCCAGGAGCCAGGAACTTCTTCTTCTGGGTCTCCCACACAGGTGCAGGGTCCCAAGGCTTTGGACCGTCCTCCACTGCTTTCCCAGGCCACAAGCAGGGAGCTGGATGGGAAGTGGAGCAGCCGGGATTAGAACTGGTGGCCATGTGGGGTCCCGGTGCTTTCAAGGCGAGGACTTTAGCTGCTAGGCCACCATGCCGGGCCCAATAAATACATCTTTAAAAAAAAAAAAAGTGGACAGATAAAGGAATGGAGAGGAGTGGCCGGTGTAAAAACGGGCATGGATGTGTCCGAGTAGAGGACAGCACAGATCCAGGAGACAGAAGGTGGGGCGAAGGAAAGACGCCGCGGAAAAAACGGGTGGGGGGGAACGCAAGCGCTGGGGGGCTGGGAAAGGACAGATGAGAGAGACCAGTGAAGATGATAAATGTGGTGGCAGGGGTGGGAGTGTCACGGGAAGGCAGAGAGCAGGTGGGACGAGAGGCGCCAGATGCCACAAGCCCAGGGGACAGCTGGGCCCCTGGAAGAGGTGTGTGTACCCTGCCCCGGTTCCTGCGGGTCCCTAGGAGATCTTCCTGCAACCAAGCTGAGTTTGTTTAGCCGAGAGGGGTCGCTACAGCCCCCAGGGGAGGAGGGGAGAGAGAGAGAGAGAGAGAGAGAGAGAGAGAGGTGTGGGATGCTCTCAACCACTGCACTGGTCCTTTGCAGAGGCCCTAGCGAGGCAGGAGGAGAGGACGCTGGGATAGGAAGGTTCTGGATGCTCAAGGCTGTCCTCTCTGTCCCCCACAGGGCCCGGCAGGGGGTGCGCCTGTCTGCCAGTCCGGAAGGAGCCCACTCGAGCCTCACATGGTTTGAGTTCCTGTCGGAGTGAGTGCAAAGGGGCAGCCGCAGGTGGGGACTGGGCGGGAGCTGACATCTGGGAGGGGAGGTCCTCCCCGTGTCCACACTTGCCTGAGACAAGGGTTGGGGCTGGTAGGGAGGAGGGACATCCTAAGAGGAGCAGAGGAAAGACTTCCTGGGGGAGCTGGCCAGCCCCAGCTGGGTTCTGAAGGCAGGGCAGGAGTTTGTGGTCCCAGGGCAGTTTATAAAGAGGCAGGCTTGTACTCCGGAGGAGGCAAGGCCCACACACCTGCATCTCACCGTGGAGAAGCTGTGTCTGCTTCCGGTTCTGAATCTGCTCACGCATGCCGTGGGAGGCAGCAATGACCCTCAGCACCTGGACTCCTGCCGCCTGAGTGGGAGTTGCTTGAGACCCAGGGCACGGGCCTGGCGCGGTAGCCTAGCGGCTAAAATCCTCGCCTTGCGTGTGCCAGGATCCCTTATAAGCGCTGGTTCTAATCCCGGCAGCCCCGCTTCTGGGTTTTAACACCCCCCCACATTCTGCTTTCCCAGGCCACAAGCTGAGAGCTGGATGGGAAGCGGGGTTGATTTTTTTTTTCTCAGACGCCACAATGGCCGAAAGGGCTGGGTCCGGCCAAAGCCAGGAGCCAAGAGCTCCAACCGGGTCTCCCACATGGAGGGGCAGGGACCCAAGCCGTTGCTACTTTCCCATGACCGTGAGCGGGGAGCTGGATCACAAACAGAGAAGCCGGGCCTCCAACCAGCATCTCCTATTTGGAATACTGGGGGTTGCCAACGGTGACTTAACCCACAACATCGCAACGCTAGCCCTGAAATATTATTATCGTTTCATTCCATTTCTCCATCAAAAGGATGGTCCCATACCGAGTGGAGGGACGTGTGTTAGGAATCTTGGTTGTGGGGGAAGGATTTGACTGTTCACTCCCAGGAGTGGGGAGACATCGGGGCGTAGGAGAGAAAAATGGGCATGAGATTGAAAACCCACTTAGGGGAACCGGGGATGTCAAGGCTAAGGAGGAAACAGATGCGGCCACCAGAGAGAGAATTTCTAAGCCAGGCCAGTCCTGTCGAGGGCCCACCAGCCCAGGGTCCGTTGGACGTTGGTGGAATGAATGAATGAGAGGTAAGCAGGATTAGAAGGGCACCCGAGGGAGACGGGCGGGCGGGCTGCAGGTATAAGTCAAGCCACAGGGTTATCTAATCTCATCAGGGCCCCCCCCCCCCGCATCCTCCCCCTTGAGCTGTTCACCCCTTCCCCTTTTCCTGCCCCCTCCCCGCCCCCCCAGGAGCGAGGATAGCCCCAACAAGAACGAGAAGAATGACAGGGGTACCAAAGTGAAACGCAGCCTGAGCTCACTGCGCAGCCGAGTCACCAGACAGAAGGAGAAGGTGGGCGAAGGGGGAGCTGGAAGAGGGGCTCGGCAGGGAGTGAGGTTCCCTCCATCTTCCCCAGAGATGTCCCCCACCCCTCCAACCCAACACCAGCACCACCATCTCCCACCCCGGGGGGGGGGGGGCAGTGCAGAAAAAAAGGCATCCTGACACCCAGCTCTGCCACAACACAGGGTAAGAGCATGGTGCCACCAAAGGACAAAAGCCAGGACGGCAGCCGGGAGAGGCGCGAGTGTGTCAGCGGGCACCAATTGGTGCCAGGGACCTTCCTGAGCCACTCGAGCTGCCCACTGTGCGGCAAGCCCTTCCTGGGCTCTGGTGAGTCCCCAGCGGTCGCTGCCTGCTGCTTGCTTGTCTTGGTCCCATGGCACCCTCTTGCGAACATCACCCATCATCCGGGGCTGGAGCAGGTAACAGGTGCACGAGGCTCTGCTCTCACAGTCTGGTAGCTGCTTCACCTGGGAAGTTGCCCTGGTTGACAAGGGGGCAGGGAGGAAGGTGGCAAGGATTCCTGGGCAGGAAAAGGTCCTAGGGTTGAGACATCCCGGAGTACACAGGGGACAGGTCACCACTGGGGCTCAGAATCCTGCATTCCGTCTTTGGAAGCATTGTGGGGGAGCAGACGGTGCTGGCGATCATGGGTCGGCAAGACTGGCACCTCGGGGAGCAAGCGTTGCAACTGTGAGCCTGTGGGTGCACTACCTGGAGCCACTGGCACCAGGATGTTGGCATTTCTGCAGGGAGCGGGGAGGGAGCAGATGCAAATAGCAGGTGGTCGTCAGTCATGGTGGATCCTAACAAAGTGAGACTTTAATATGCAGACATATGTACGTATATGTAAGTATATATAAAACCTGCAAGCATAATTTGTGATGCATGCGCAATTCACGCTTCAAGCTCTTTAACAAGTACAGCTTTGCTTTGTTGGCGGACAGCCACACCTGCTCATGAGAGTTTGAGGAAAAAGTGAAATGAAAAGAAAACTTTAAGGGCTGATGCTGTGGCGTAGCATGCTAAGCCTCCACCTGCAAGTGCCAGGATCCCCAGCGGGCATCCGTTCTTGTCTCGGCTGCTCCACTTCCCATCCAGCTCCCTGCCTGTGGCCCGGGAAAGCAGTGGAGGACGACCCGAAGCCTTAGGACCCTGCACCTGCGTGGGAGACCCAGAAGAGGCTCCTGGCTTCAGATCGGCTCAGCTCCAGGCTGTTGTGGCCACTTGAGGAGTAAACCAGTGGATGGAAGATCTTTCTCTGTCTGTCCTCTCTGCAAATCTGCCTTTCCCATGAAAATAAGTCCTTTAAAAAATAGGACAAAGGAGGAGCCTGGCGCACACGGTCAACGGCAGCTTAAGCGAACCTCACGGTATCATGGCCAGGGGGAGGCAGTAGCAGCTCTGCCACGAGGGCACCTGCGTGCCACCCCCCACAGCCCGCACAGGCTCCACCCCGGGTGTTCAGAACCACACACCACCCTCTGTCTGCTGCAGGAAATGGGCTGGCACTTAAGTTACCCTGACGGAGAAGGAGTCAGGCGCCAGGGCCAGGCTGTGGTACCTTCCCCACGCACCGTCCCCATTGCCGTGACCTTGACCCCTCGGGGTCTGACTCCATTGTCTTCCCTGCGCTCAGCCCGCCAGGACTCCAGACCCCACACTCCCTGGGGGCGAGGCCTGACCACCCCCCGGAAGCCCCCTTTCTGCCAGCTTTCATCTCTCACCCTTCACACCAGGCCCAGGTGCACCTGCCACAAGAAGCCAGCATGAGGCTGGTCAGGATCTGTGGGCCAGCCACTGTCATCCCAGAACCTGAAGGGCATTTGTCATCGTCTAGAGAGGGCATGCCACCGCGATCAGAGGTCTCATTCAATATCCTCCACCTTACACCATACAGCACTAGCCCCCGATTGTGGAGTGTGCCAGGTTTTAAGGACATCTGTGTTTCCTTAGGTCCTAGCAGGTCCCAGCCCCACCGTCAACAGAATGATTGGCAGTCTCCTTTTTGTTTTTTCATAATTATTTTCATTTGAAAGGCAGATTTGCAGAGAGGAGAGACAGAGAAGATCTTTGGTCTGCTGGTTCACTCCCCAAGCGGCCACAACGGCCTGGAGCTGAGCCTATCTGAAGGCCAGGTGCCAGGAGCTTCTTCTGCGTCTCCCACGTAGGTGCAGGGTCCCAAGGCTTTGGGCCATCCTTGACTGCTTTTCCAGGCCACAAGCAGGGAGCTGGATGGGAAGTGGAGCAGCCGGGACTCGAACTGGTGCCCACATGGGATCCTGGCACATGCAAGGGGAGGATTAGCCAATTGAGCCATCACTGCAAATACAAGTATTTCTAGAACTCCCAGCTCCTTCACTAGGTGTCCTTCTCTTGGCTGGGAATATCAGAGAGAAAGTGAAGGCTGGGCATTCTGGGGGTGGGGGGGACGCAGGACTGCAGCTGCTGGATCTCCCCAACATTCAATGTGTGTGTTTTGAAGAGCTTGGGCTTTGGGGAGATCTCCTTGACCTCAGCTCCCATCTCCTGGCTGCAGCCCCCCGTTGCCCTCCTTACCTGTGGGGTCCCGCATGGCTCCCAGTATCCCAGCAGCTTTCAGAAGGGGTTGCCGGCTCCCCTCCCAAGCCATCGGGCAGTAGCTTGGGCGGGAGTGGAAAATATTTATGTTTTTCAGAAACCTGCTGCAGGTATCCGACAGCATTGGGGTGGAGAGAATCCAAGCCTGGCGGGGAACTGAAAAACTTCCGTGTAGGGGTCTTTGATGGGCCTGGGTGTCTGCTGTGTGTTGGGGTCTTTGCTGGTACCTGCGAACACCTGTGGGGTATAGGACACATTCCTTCGCCCTCCCACTGTACAGGACCCTCAAACTCCCCAACGCTGCAAATCACACACGCCCCCTAAAATATACCGATCCCCCCTCTTCCCCAGGGTCCCCACAACCTCACTGTCGCCCACCCGGGATCTCCCAGCCCTGCTGCCACCAGATGCCCCCGCCCACCTCCCTGGGCACGCCCCCCTCTCGAGACTCCGCCCAAGTCCTGGCAGCCACGCCCTTCTTCGGGTCCTCACGGCCCCGGGGAGGCGGAGCCGCGCACGCGCCCTGGTGCGCGCGCGGCCTCCCGCTTCCGGCTAGCCGGGCTCGGGCAGCGTCTGCGGGTTGAGGCGGCGGCTGTGGTGGCGGCGGCCGAGGTCCCGGGAACGGGCGGAGGAAAGCGAAGCGGGGAGCGGCCTGCGGGGGACCCGAGCGGGCTGAGGTGAGGGCGGCGGGGCGTCGCTCGGGGATGAGGGGGTGTCGTGGTGGGGGGAGACAGCCGGGCCCCGGCAGGTGCATGGGGTCTGGGGGGGCGCGCTGGGACCCCAGGACGCTGCACCCCGCTTTCCCCTCCAGCACCCCCGGGAGATGCCGGTGAGGCCTGCGGCAACCTGGCCCAGCAGCTCTGGCCTTGGGGGACCGTGCACCCTCCTTCTCCTCCTCCTCCTCACCCCACCCCAGCCCCGGGCAGCAGCAACCTCACCCCCTCTTCTTTGAATTTCTTTTTTTTTTTTTTAAGGGGCGCCCCGGGCATGAGCAGAGGGGTGCAGGAAGACGCATCCTAAGCACTCAGTACTTGGCACACTTTGGGGCTCCCGGGGTGGAGCAGCAGGTGTTCTGGCTCCCACCCCACCCCACCTCAGGGAGATGTGTGGGTGCACCGTCCTGGGGCCTGGGGGAGCCGGCAGGTGCAGCACCCAGGTCCCCCTGCGTCCGTGCGTGCGTGCAGTGGGCTGGGAGCGGCCTCTCTCTCTCTCTGCTTACCTTTTACCTGTTGCCGCTGTTGTTGTGGGAAAGGTGAAAAGCTGGGATCACGGAAGCAAAAAGACAACTTTCAACTTTGGGTCGTGCTGCTGGGTTGTTTTTTTTTTTTTTAATTCCTTCCTCCCTAGGCCTTGTTTTTCCCAGCAACCCAGCCAGGTCGGTCGCTGGGAAAGCTCATTTTATTTCTCTTTCACAATGCTTTGGACCAGCCAAGCGCTGGCTCAGGCTGATGGGGGGGTGGGGGGGACATGAACTCCCCAACCCTCCAAAGAGTGGACGGGGGTGGGTGGGTGGGCAGGGCACGAGGTGTGGCTAACCTGCCCGAACCCCATCTTTGAAATGGCAATAAAGATTGCGGCCACCAGCCGTCACCTCTCTTCCCCAGGTGGGGGGCAGGGAAGAGGGATGGGAGGTGAACTGGGCAAAGGACCAACAGGTGTTATATAATCCGAAAGGTGGTGTGCGCGTTTGAGTGCTACCCAGGGTCCTGGGGGTGCGAGTTGTCGCTTGCAAGCCAATCAGGGGGCGTCTAGGAGCTGATGAGACCTTGTGCTGCTGGAAGGGGAGGGAAAAATATATATATATTTAATCGGAACTGCTAAAAGCAAAGCCCTGGAAGGCATTCTACAATTTTTATCTTTGGTGTCATTTGGTGTTGGTGTCTATAGCATGCTTTTGTTGTTGTTGTTGTTGTTTAAACATTGGAAGTTAGAGAAATAGAACAATGATTTATCTATTAATGGATGGTGGTTCCTCTCAGACTGACTTGCAAATGCCCTTGGAAGTGGGGCCGGCAGCATAGCTGGGGTGTAATTTTAATTCTTGTCACATAACAGCATTAGGGCTGCGGCCCGCCTCTGCCGTTGTCTTGCCTGGGGACACGGGCTGTGTTCCTGGGGGTGCCTCTCTTGTTGTTTACCAACTGCGTGTCTGACATAGCTGCCGTCCCGCGTGGCCCGGGGTCTCCTTGCTTGTCACATCTGCTAGCGGGGGGGTGGGGGCAAGGGGGGGGACACCCCGCCGCCTTTCTCCTTTGGGAAATATTTCCACCCTGCCACGTGTGAAGCCGAAAGACCCCTGGGTGTAAAGTCCAACCCCCCATGATGGCTTTCCCGGTCCCCTCCCACCCCGCCCCCAGGTTGTTGCAGAATGGCTGTGTTTTGAGAACTCTCTCTTCAGGTGCAAAGCACCCTGGAGGAATGTGGAAACAGGAATGTGGTCCTGGGTGGAGGTTTTTTTTTGGGGGGGGGGGGAGGGAAATGTTTACGACCTCGGAGTCCAGAGGAAATTCTACAAACTGGTTCACTTTTTTTTTTTTTTTGGCTCTCCCTTGAGGCTGTGTGTGAACTCCGGTGGCATAGCATAGCCTCCCAGCTCCCGTGTGCAGTTTTCATGAGATAATGGGCCCTTGGGGCTACAAAGTAGCAAATGGTCAGGAAGGCTGAAGACCTTATCTTTCAAAATAAATACATTCGACAGGTTTCACTATACTCTGAATACTTTGTGGATGGTTACATTTTAAACTTCTGTT